TTAAAAACACTTTAAAAAATCTGAATATTATTCAGCTCACAATCTTTAAAGGTTCCATGACATGCTTATTTTTATACGCTTTGATGTAGACCTCTGCCTTGTTATGGATATTGTAAGAGATTATTGTAAGTAACGTCTGAATATTACTTTCTGTCATCTTGCATGTTGAGGTTTATTTATTTATTTTTTTTCTTAACCTATTGTAAAGTGACCTGGGGTGTTGGAAAGGCTATATAATCAACAATTCTTATTATAATTAATTTTAATAACCACCCAACCACATACAATTTAAGGATACCAGTGCTCTATAATTATTTAATGCCAATATTAAAAGGTTGAGGCATTCTTGCACAAAAACAAACATATTGCATAAACTTTCCATTTGAAATTGATCTCAAACAATATAGTACTTGATTGCTTAATTAGCTGATTAAATTGAAAAAAAGTATTACTCACAACAATTTTGAGTGATTTTTCAAGCAAATATTCCACATGTACAGTAAATAAGACTCGTCCTGACTTTAGTAGTGGTGTGCATGGGCGCGGTCACGGCCGCACGCTTGCTTGGGGGCGCTACAAGAATCGCCCATAGCCGGCGATTGGCGATAGTCCAATCGCCCATTTATATACATATATATATATAAGGAGGATTTATAAAAGGATTTACAATTACACATCAGCACCTATCCAGTGTTCAACAACTTAGCTTACTCAGTTCTAATTACTCCAGTTGGTATACAAGTAAAAATAAAATTAAGCTATGGGGAAGTCTGCCAAATAAAATCATTAAAAAAAAAAAAAAAATTCATATGACTCCTTAAAGGACACTGACTGTAATACTACCTTCAGTCAGAATTGCTTCAGACACAACGTGGCCAGGTCTAACCTGAGACAACCAGATACATAAATGTAGCTGTCTGGCACACTCTCCTTTGTGTTTTCCTCCTGCATGCTGACCACATGCAAATTTCAATGGGGATTGTCAAATAATCCTACTTTAGAAGCGTCAAAACTGCTGAGTCATCTAGGAATACCAAATACTAAGGATTTGAAGAGCTCAGACACATTTTTCTACGTTAGAAAAAAGCGGTGCTTTTTTCAGCCATCCCATTTTGACGTGTAAATCTGGATCTTTCACTTCTTTCCAGCACAGCCGCCCACTCAAAAAGAGGCTCTGAGCTCCAAGCACTTGAGAGGTTGAAGTAACAGTGAAAAGTCTGTTTAGAAACAGTCACAGTTAAGAAGTCATCTTGTTATTTGCCTCGCTCTGCCTATGTGATACTGTAAACCAGGTGTAAAGGGTAGGGCAAGGTTAATGCAAAAACCTGCAACGCCACGATATGAGTCATAGCTCATTTAGATTAAAACAGGTGGTCAACTGTCAGAGAGTTGAAGAGGGTCTAAAATTCTGGAATAACTTGCCTCTCTCCACCCCATGAATAAATAAATATATAAAAATGAATTCAGTTTCAATATGTTAATTTTAGTTGGCTGAAAAGGGACAAGCAGTTTTGATATCTTGAGGACAGATGTACGTTTTAAAAGTTAGGGATAATGGATGGTTGGTCTAAACAACAGCACAAACTAATAATTCCTCCTAGTAACTTTAATCACTTTGGCACCATTCCATTAAAGTGAAATGCTAATGCACAGCATAAATCTCTCCTTGAAGTTAGCGGAACCAAAGCCTTAGAGAGAGAGAGAGAGAGAGAGCAGACATAAACTGTTGCTCACTTCGGTTTTGCAGAAGTGCTGAAAGCGGGTTCATTTTCTTGCTTTAAGCACTGCATTTGGAGCTATAATTCTAACTTTGGCCTGAGCCAAGCTCACAAGCTGGCTGAAAATGGCTCCCTTGAGGGAGGTGTCTTCTCTCTTTTTTAGGAGCTCACAGGCCTTCAGCTTTCAGAACTTGACCTGCCATATTTCTTATCTGCCACGGAGCTCATTATCATGACCTTGCCAAGAGATATGGGCTGTGGTCTTCACGTCTTTAATGTGGTTTTTCAATCGGTTCCAGGCCATTTCACAGCTGTATTTCTATATGCCTCTCTCCCACCAATTTGCATACACACCAACAGCAATCTTCCATGAGTTAATTTTTCTTGTTGAGCTGTATTGAGCAACCTTTAGTGTGTAATATTTATATAAAATAAATGTTATAACTGATAACCGAACCGAAAAACAAGACATTTCGAAACTCGACAGTATCAAGGCAATTCTGTCGGCACATTAAAAGTATTGAACTTGATACCCAGCCCTAGTCCCATTAGACTTCATGGGGAGGGCGGGGTTTATGACCTAGACTGGAACCAACCACCTGGGGGCAATCGAGACACTTTGCCGTCACTTTTCAAGCCTTGTGCGGCACGCTTGTTATAACCTAGTTTCTGTATTTCTAAAGTCATAGTTAATTTAAAAACTAATATGTATGTTAGCATTTCCTTGCCCTCACTCGCTGGATCAAAGTAAACAAAAAAATTACTTGTTAACTTGTTATAACTTGTTGCAAGTAATAATCGGTTTACTTTTTTTTCAACTTGACTTACTTTCAATTGACTATAGAAATATTATTTACACAATTCACATTTCTATAGTCAATTGAAAGGAAAAATGCTCTTTCAGCCAAAAATTTGATTTTTTTAATTGGCATTAAATTATAAATTATTATTTGGATTAACTTATTTTTCAAACTTTTAGATATTAAACATCAAAATAAATACAAAACAAAATTACACACAACATGAAATAATCACACAATTTGAAAAAATTCAATACCAAAAAATAAGCCTTTTACACTCTGGAATCAAACATTTAACTGTTTATTCTATATGGCTTTGTTGATATATATATATATATATATATATATATATATATATATATATATAAATAATCACTCTACTTTTTCTAACAATATCATGCATTTTCTCTGATCGCATAGCTATAGTGAAAAGACTAGGTTTAAATACGATCTGAAACGCTTTCAAGACACTTTCACTTTATCAAGTGATTTGAGACACATGCAACTGGACAAATGTAAATGCAAATTCGCCACAGCAGACTAAAAGGTAAAAAATAAATGTATGAAAGAAAGTGCGTTCTACTGGCTCCCAATAGCCAGATTTCACAACACTTCTTGCAACAAGCATCTCTATCTCCACAGATATGGCCCACCAGAGATGGGCAGAAAAGCAGAAAATGAAACTCAATGTCCTGCATTACTTCCTGAATCTCAACACACGGGCATCTTTATTAACAGTGGAACACTAAATTATCTCTTCGGTTGAAGAGTCTCTCTCTCCTATTACAGTCTTTGATTTTGAAATCAACTGATGATAAATAAAATGCAGCACATCTGTTGCTTTAAGTGACATGAACTCTGTTGAGTTTGTGTTTAGTGCTGGATTGAATTTGTATTCAGTGTATGTAGACTCGTTTATTTGACCAAGTATAAGGATCAATAATGAAGAAGTGTGTCTAACTAAGAGCAAACATTAAAAGCAGAGCTGCTTTCATGAGAGACAGGACTAAAATGAACAAGGCCTGTTGAGCTCTAAAAATGAGCTCTTTTTTTAAGCTTTCTTATCAAATTAAAGCCAAAAGACTAGATATGATTAAATTCATTTCTCTTTTGCCAAACATTGCACTTTAAGGCACATCATACAAGGGCTGGTAGTATGTCAAACATCATTTCAATTAATTTGCAAACATTAATTAGATTTAAATGCTACAGCAAACAGGAACATTTTCATTCTGTTCCACATACAGACCTATGATATGTCATCAGGATACATGAAATAGCAGAAAGCAAATCGTGGAAACGACATCCATTCATCAATTTTCCAAACCGCTTGTCCTAGCCTACTGTAGGCTACGGTAGACGGATGGCCAGTTGGGAGCAACATGATGATGATTAGCTAAATAATGACAATTCTTATTTTGGGCTAAATATTCCTTTAACATTAGCCTATAATGGAAACTGCAAAAATGTTGATGATTTTGTAATTGCAGGACCACAGTACATGATAAAGTGTTTACATTTCCAGAACGCTTCATGTTTGCGCACTAAAGACCCATTTCTCTCTCTCTCTCTCTCTCTCTCTCTCTCTCTCTCTCTCTCTCTAAATGAATAAATATTCAAACGTCTTCCATTCATTGGTGTATGGAAAGCAAGCTCGCTTGCTTTAGGAACTGGCTGCATACGCGCTTTACTGTTGGGCGCGTGAATAGAGTAACTCCATACCAGAATAGGCTATTTGTTGACTGAAACGATTTGTCATGATTGAAAACCAGCAGACAGAACAAACTACACAATATGCACGCGCAACCCAAGTGTTGTCTCTAACAAACTGCGATATAATCGATCGAATTTCCAGCACAAAGATGTTAATTCATAGTCGTATATTAAAATATTTAAGTTCCGAATATGACCACAATATCACATTTCTACCAACACATTGGAATTTTGAATAGAAAAACAAAAGCAGGAAATGCAGTACAAGTTTTCATTCAAGGTTATACGTTACACGAGTAATCCAAATTTCTTCCACATTTCCTGTTAGAAAAATGTCCACTATAAATGCACAACTCAGTTACACATTCACTTTTACCTCAGTAAAACAAAAGCTTTATGTCGCATCATTAGCCAGCAGCCTACAACAGTGTGAATAAAATGCCGATCGATAGAGTGACTAAAATTCATCTTTAAAAAAACGCATCTTATATTTGACTGATATCCTCTCAAAGTAACATTCGTCAGTCTTGCCCGTGATAAGCGCTTGCTCTTGGTCAGGTTCACGTCAGTGTATCGGTCTGCGGTGGCGAGAGGAGACCTGTTAAACCTTCAAACAAAAGACGTGTTCCTCTCAAAACCACTTACTCGTGAATAAAACACTGCGGGATTTTACAAAGACGTCCCTTTAACGACGTTTTCCGATCTCCAAATCCATATGGTACACGTTTTACGCACCATTCAATCTTAAAACATATGAAATGCACCTCACCAGAGATAAATCCTTTTTTTCCTCCGACGGACTTGAGACACTTTCTGAGCTCTGGCAGTTGATTTCCACCTCTGTCTTTCCACTTATTTTCCAGCAAATTCTTTCAAGTCCAATGGGTGATTTTTTTTTTTTTAAGTATTTGCCTCAGATGCTGGAAAAATGGTAGTGGGGAGCGCTGGTAACGTTGGTAAGCCTGCCCTCCTCAAACGAACCTTCCCGCCCCCTCCTTCTCTCACTCACAGATTGGTGCTGGATGGCGACAAATTTCCCGCTCGGAGGGGGGTATAAATACATCGCCGTGGATCGTTACTAAGCAGTTAGTTAGATGAAGGCTACGGTGACCCATTGGTAGTGTGCCGCTCAACAATTATATAGTTCAGCCAAAACCATGTTACTATTTCACAATGCTCATGTTTTTCCAAACCTGCATTTTCGTTGGAATCCAAACTGATTTTTATTTATTTATTTCACGTAGGTTCATTCAGTTCAATTTCCCCAGAGCTTTGTATAATTAAGACAAATCCTATTACACATTTTATCCACCACTTTTGTTTTGTGATGGTTTTAAGGCGGGCATACACTGCAAGTAAATCGCATGCGATGTAAAGCCAAAGTTCAGGATGTATGCTCACACATCATCGAGCTGCGACTTGACTGCTCACACTATAGGCTATAGATATTATCTGCGTTCTGGGTTGCCTCTATGATATCAAAGATGTTGTCAAAACAAGCGTCAGCTATCAATATCAAGATGATTTATGTTTTAGTTATTATTATTAGTATTATTGTATTATCATTATTAGAGTAGGCAAATTTTATAATTAAATTGATCTGCAATTATGTGCTGTGAAATTATTGCGTGGCAAATTAATTATACTGTAACCAACGTGCTGTTAGGATAATCAAATATTTGATTATCAGTACAGTACAGTTTTATTAATTTGTTAAAAAATGTTTTTGAAATAAACCTATTTTTAATTTTCATTGATGACTATTGCAATGATCGGACATATTATAATATGTCCGATCATTGCAATAGTCAATTAAAATTAAAAATAGGTTTATTTCAAAAACATTGTTTAACAAATTAATAAAAGAAGCAGGGTGTAGATACATCACAGGTGGTTTGGAAGATGTGGGTTTATATGGTTAATGCATTTTGCAACATGAACTGGAGGTAATCATCAGTAATTTGTAGATTTTTTGAACTACAGAACTTAAAGGGATAGTTCACTTTGAAATTAATTTTTGATATGTTTTAGCTTAACTTTGTTTCCACAGTATTTTCAATTTTGATATTTTTAGGTGAAACCGTTCTTGTCTGTCAGTCATATAATAATGGAAGTTTATGGGGTCCACCCTGGGTTCACCTCAAAGAGCACGCACAGAGAAGTCTAAATTAAACATGATTTAATGACTCGTAAATGTAAGTACACATTGATGGCCTAAGACACGAAACGAGCAGTTTGTGTGAGAAAACGAACAGAATTTATATCGTTTTTACCTCTTGTAATCACAGTCACGTCCAGGGCATGTCACGGGGTGTGGTGGAGTGTAGGCTGAGGAAGACAGACTCAAGATGCAAAGCTCCAATTCAAACGCTTTACTTAAACTTTCAACATCCAATGGAACAAAACTGACAGGAATACACTCAAAACACGGTAACATAAGTTCAACGATCAACCAAGACTGAAGGAAACTGAGGGAACTAAATACACAGGGGAATCAAACATAATGAGGTGCAAACAGGTGAACATGATGAACAGACGAGGAACAGGTGGCTGATGAGGGAGTGAGTTCGGGAGTAGAGACAAGAGGATCCTGGGAAGTGTAGTGCTGATGACAAGACAGACTGGTGCAGACGACAGGCTGTGACAGGGCACTTCTATCTGCGCTTGTGTGCCGGAAAGCCCCAGAAGTGGTCTCTCGCACGTGTACGTCACTCATTGTTTACACAGAGATTTCAGAAGTGTTATCCTTCACTGTGAAGATCTAAACATATTTAGATACAAGAAATTGCAATAGAAGACGATTTTGATATATCGATATCAATATATCGATTTTGTTTTTGCCATCGGCAAGAGATCACTTCCGGCCCTTGCACAGAACAAAGCGCCTGTGCCTTCAGATCACTTGGAAGTGGCTGTGGTTACAAAAGGTAAAAACTATATAAATACTGTTCGTTTTCTCACACAAACCACTCGTTTTGTGTTTTACGCCATCAATGTGTCCTTACATTTACTGTTTTAAACAGGTTTTTTTTTTTTTTTATTGTTGTGGGTTTCCTATTTTATTATTAGCATCCAAAATCATTATGATTTAGTTTGATTATTAGGAGTTTCAATGGATCCACAAAAACAAACAAAAAAACAAAACAATTCACACAATAAAAACAGTAGATTGTAAATAGCAAGCAGTTCAAAGCAATATTTTAACAAAATAAATGACTTTGCAATAACACATTACAAAAATAAAAACAACATAAGTATAATATGATAAATAAAAATAAAACTATTTAACATGTTTTAACATTTTATAATTCTATTTGATTTTTCACAAGCTGTTTATACAGTATACAGAAATTACAACCTTTTTAACTTCATATGTTTTGTTACATTTGTGCTTGAAAATTACTTTTACTACTATCCTTAATTGGGTTTGTTATTTAGCATTTTAGGCTTATTTTAAACAGTAAAAATGTGTATTCTGCAAATAAATTTGTTACAAGTGTTGGAAATTACTGTGTTGTGAAATTTGGGGATGTTTAAAATTGTACAAAATAATCCAAAACCCTGTTGAAACCCTGTTTTAAAGCACATACTGTAAAATAGTATTACTTTAATTTAACATGATTAGTATTATACCTTGAGAGCGATAACAATGATTCTTTTGATATTTGATGATAATAGTGTTCTGCTTTCATCCAGGTTACACTCTTCATGAAGTAGTGTCACGCAACCAACTAGAGTCAGTATAGCTCGCAGCGTCATCTGTTTGTGAAAATAATCACTACACACTTGGTCCCATAACCAGCAGGCTGCTGTATGTTGGTCGGGCTTTTTTGCAATGTATTTGTGGGTTGTTTTGAACCAGCTGTAAAATGGGGACATCTCCAGTCGGGGACAGAACACCAAAAACCCGGACTGTCCCAGGACAGCCATTTGTAGTGGTGTCCGAAACCATAGCCACGTTATCAAGTGCACTCTTTCAATCTTGCACAGCAATATGTGAACAACCAATGTGCACTTAAGGGCTTGAGAATTCTAAAATTCTATAGCTTTGCAATCTACTTGCGTCTAAAACACAACTTATGACGTCAGAAGTAGGGTATTGCGTCATGGCGTAACGTAAATATCAACAGTACGTCACATTATCCCAGCTAACAGGGAACGTTCCCAGAAGCTCTTTAAAAGTTGTGTAAATGTTAGGACAAAACGTTATTAAAATAATGTTTTCGGAACGTTCATATAACGTTATTAACGTTCTTGTAACGTTGAGAGAAAACGTTCTTAGAACAACGTTCTTGGAACGTCTTTATCACGTTATTTGTATTTGATGAACGTTCTCATTACGTTGATAAAAAACGTTCTTAGAACAACGTTATCGGAACGTCTTTATCACGTTATTTGTGTTTGATAAACGTTCTCATAACGTTCCAGCAACATTATGCTAACCTTAGGATAACGTTCTAACAACATTATGCTAACGTTCCAGCAACGTTCTGCAAACATTAAGACACCGTTCCAGCAACGTTAAGCAAACTGGACATTTCCACGTTTTTAGAACATTTTAAATTAACGTTCCCACAACCAAAATGGAACGTTATAAAAACGTTCTCAGAACCTAACTTTGTTAGCTGGGTTATTAGCATAAGTTGCGCTTCATACTTAAGTCGAATCTGTATGTTCGTTTGGTCAGAAGCTAGTTGTTTTACTTTATAAAGTTTTAAACATGAATATTTTTCTCACTCAAAGAGGGAAAGGATTATTGAGCATTTTTGCTCCGTTCAGTATGTCACTTGCATAATGAGTCATTCTTCCTCTCAGTAAAACTGCAGCTGTCACAAAAACATAAAGACATATTTTGATTTTGTTCCTCATATGTTCACTTTGGTGTCTTAATGCAAAGAATGTTTAACATATGCATCACCACATGGAGTTCTAAAAAAAGACTGCTGAGAGTTGTGACAATGTTTTCTCAAGGAGAGAGTTTTTTTTTATTATTATTATTACTCTTGTCACTTATCGTACATCAGCTAATTGTAAGATAATAATTCTAACAATTTGATTTAAAACATATGTCATATTAAAGTTATATGCCAACTGGAGAAAAAAAAAAAAACATTTTCTTGCCAAAGCCAATTTTTACTCAAGTGTTAATCTTGGACCCTGGATGCCAGGCTCTCGGGGGACAAACAAAAAGGATTAGAGTTAGGCAAAAATGTCAGGGGAATTCCAACTGAAATTGAGTATCACCTCTGCCTAAGCACTTAAAATGAGAATTCAGACCATTGCTGTCTAATATGTGCCTGTTTGATACCAACTGAATTTATAGTCCTGGCTACTAGTTGTCATACATTTACAGGAATGATTACAGTAGCAGGTCTACAGTGTATTAAACCATCTACCATCTGAATGTCTCAACAGAAATCGAGACTCATCAGACCAGGCAACATTTTTCCAGTCTTCAACTTTCCAATTTTGGTGAGCTCTTGCAAATTGTAGCCTCTTTTTCCTATTTGTAGTGGAGATGAATGGTACCCGGTGGAGGGTTCTGCTGTTGTAGCCCATCCGCCTCAAGGTTATGTGTGTTGTGGCTTCACAAATGCTTTGCTGCATACCTCAGTTGTAACGAGTGGTTATTTCAGTCAAAGTTGCTCTTGAATCAGTCGGCCCATTCTCCTCTGACTTCTAGCATCAAGCATTTTCGCCCACAGGACTGCTGCACACTAGATGTTTTTTCCCTTTTCACACCATTCTTTGTTAACCCTAGAAATGGTTGTTCGTGAAAATCCCAGTATCTAAGCAGATTTTGAAATACTCAGACCGGAAAAATTGCTTAAATCACCTTTCTTTCCCATTCTGACATTCTGTTTTGAGTTCAGGAGATTGTCTTGACCAGGACCACACCCCTAAATGCATTGAAGCATCTGCTACGTGATTGGTTGATTAG